AATATGTACAATTTCTTTTATACAGATCTTTTCATTTGCTTCAAATTTTGTTAGCAAAATGATTTAGTCTTTTGTGTTCCATAATTTGCCTTGTTCTATCATATCTTTAAGGAAGGCAGATTGACTTTAAGTAAATAAAATACATTGAGATGCTCTTCTCTTTGTAACTTAAAGAAAGTAGTTAATTACTTAGTGCAGAGATAAATATTATAAGGTTTAAGGTCCAGCTATGAATTAGATTCTGGTTTTGCTCAAATTGCTTTTATTGTCAAGATGAGAAGGGACTGTATCTAGAAGAAACAACTAGGGTTTTAAAGTATGCCTGTAAACTGGAGCTTAAACTACACTTCTAAATTGAAGTGTGCAATAAACAACTTACATTTCCCACTTTAAACCACCTTTCTTCCTCCCTACAATAAGGAATTTTTCCAGTGGGTTTGGTGGCCCACGTCTGTACTCCAAGCTACTCTGGAGGTAGAGATTGGGAGGATTGGGGTTCGAAGTCAGCCAGCCTGGGGAAGAAGTTAATAAGACCTTCATCTCAACCAGTAAGCAGAGGCCCTAGTTCAAACTTCAGTACCACCAAAAACAGTTGTCATGTCATTTCATCTTCCAGTATTTATGAATAAAGGTATAGATTTTAAGTGAACTGCCAATGCAAGTTTAGCTCATTTAGAGTACTTGCCCAGCATGCACGAGGCCTGGGTTTGATCCCTAGCACTCTCGATAAAAAAGTCCATTCTGGATAAATATTAATGATTTGCTTGGTAGGCTTACCTATAGTCCTAGCTACTCCTGAGGCTGAGATAACCCAGGCTGGTCTTGAACTCATAACCATCTTGCTTCTGTCTTCCAAGTTGCTTGAATTGCAGGTGTGAGCCACCACTTAAACCTTTATTTTTTTCTGAACTTTTCCTTGTTACTTGTCATGTCTTTCTTCAACTTCTTTACCTGTACTAACATTTTCTTTTTTTAAATTCTTGCTGATTACCTATTATAAATTATATTTAAGGTTCTTGTTAATATTGCTCTCCTTTTTTTAATAAGTTTGTTTTCTCAGTTAGATTGCACAGTTATTAAGCCCAAGATCCTGTTTTGTTCTTTGTTTTGAATTTTCACAGACTTATCACATTGGTAGATTTACAGGGCAGCCTCGTTCATTTGGGAAACACAATTAGCAAGGCTTCTTGTTGTTTGCATATGTTATTTTTTTTTCTTTTGGTGGTATTGGGGTTCGACCTCAGGGCCTCATGCTTGCTAGACAGGCACTCCATTACTTGAGCCACTCTGCCGGCCCTGCATATGTGTTGAGAGGGTGGCAGTTTATATACGAAATAATACTTTATTTCTGCATTATACAATGGTAGCAAGTAGAGAAAACATAAGTCCCACCTTGACCACATATCCTCTTATTCCCAAGAGAGAATACTATTCCAATGCTATTTGTAATATCAAGATTTCCATGACAGATAGTTTCTGAAGTATTACTGTGAAGCTTATACTCTTCAAAACATACATCTTGTGTTTTAAAATTTACTTCTAACATCTAGCTAAGGATGCTTTGCTTCTAAAACCTCAGTAGAACTCAAATGTAAGCAGTAATGTAGCAAAGCAGTTCTCTGAAGTTCTAAATTTCCAAATTTACTTCTGAAGTCCTTCACAATTATTTAGCATCCTAAACAAAGTATAGATTTATCCTTCTTATTCAAATCTGTATGGAATAAGACAGGCTTTGAGTGAATGTGTATATTGATCAATCTTCAGTCTTTTTGTAGTCATTGAAAATAGCCAATTCATCATTTCTGCCACATCATATCAAATAAAGATCATGAAAAATATCCAGTACTATGTGGATATGCAAATGTGTCTACCAAGTGAATATTTGTGTTTTGACTGGACCTTTGTAAAAAGGTACACAAATTATAAAAGTCACAACTTTAGTATATGCATTGATAGTTTGCATTTATTCACTTAGTGAATAGATTTTATATTAGAAATGATTTATGTAGCTAAAATGATATTTTTCTGTTCATCTTATTTGATGTTGCCTTCAAATGTGCCAAAACCACTTAGGAGAATTCTGAACTAGAGATTCTGTTAGTGGAAGTATAAAAGAGACGTAAGAAAAGAGAGCCAAAAGATCAATGAAGATATAGCTAGAAGAAGAATGACCTTGGGGCTGGTTGTGTAGCTTAGTGGTAGAGGACTTACCTAGCATATGTGAGGCCCAGCATTGCAAAACAAACAAAGAATGATCTGAGAAGAAATGACTAGAGAAAATAGTAGAAAAGCAAGAGAATATAGTTAGAAAGAAGCAGTGATGAAAGACACTTTCAGTGCTCAGAATTAGATGGTGTCTTTCCTGAAGAATGGCTGTTTGATTTAGCATCATGAAGTCAAATCAGTGGAGTCTTTTCTAAGATGGATTTTTGATAGCATGGTGGAAATACCTGCCAGATTGCGTTGGGTTGAGTTCTGAATGGGAGGTAAAGAAGCAGAGACATAGTAGGCAAAGACTGCTCTTTTCAAAAAGTTTGATCCTGAACTGGAGGAAAGAAAGCAATAGCTGAAGTAGACATTAATGTGCAAAGGTTATTGACATAATTGATTTAATGTAGAATTGTAAGCCTATTTAAATGTTGCTAGAAAAGTACTAATGAAAATGGAGGTGATATAAATATAGGACCGGGGGATATAATAGATTAGGGTCTCAGAAAAAAAAAACAAGGAGCAATTAATTATGGAGCAAACATCCATGGGGTAATAAGATCCAGAACAGAAAAAAAAAAAGATCCAGAACAGAGATGGTAGATAGATAAGCCTGGACTAGTAAATGGTGATTTCCATTTTACTCTTGGGAAGAAGATAAGTTTGGGTAAAAAACAAAAGGGTAGGTTGGTTTCCATAAATGACATGAATTTTCCCTGTGAAACGAGAAAGTCGTCACAGGCTAGATCATCTGCCAGGTAGCAGGGAAGAAAAAAATGCTTAGGAATAAAGGAGAAGTAAGAAGTTTTGAAAAGAGGACATACTTTGTTATGAAAGGAAATATGGTAGGATTGCTGGATAAATCTTTGTGAAGGAATCCAGTTTAAGCCTACTTTATGGTGGTTTTCTTTTATAACAATAGCTTTAAAAATGAAGGTTTACTGTTTTTAATATTACTACCAGTCACCCATTTATGCTCGTGATAATAATTATTTTTCTTCTTGTGGCTAATTACTACAAATACAAAATTTTAACTAAAATATGTGCAAATTTTTCTGAATATTAAATTTGTTTATCATGTTTTAAGAGTCACTCATTTTTGTAAAAACCATGTGTTCATTATAAAAACTTTGAGACAAAACTATTAAAGAAGTTTAAATAAAAATAATTCCTATGCTTCTAAAACAATTGCAACTTACAAAATTGAGGGTTGTAATTAAGAAATTGCCATTTAACACTTGCTAATGCATTTACTGTAGGGATGTTGTTGAGAACATCATTAAGTCATTGGCCACTATATAAAGACAACTATAGAATAATTTTCATTCTGAGCGTCATAGAAAGCTTACTTATATCTATACCTGACCATGTTACTTTTTCTCTGCCTGCCAGGAAGCTAACCTGTCTTTTTACTTTCCTATTTTATTGTATCATTGTGTGAGATGCCTCAAATCATAACAAGAAATAAATACTGTGCTTTGGGCAGAGGCTTATCTGTTTATTGTGTTCATTTGTAAAATATAACATACCTCTTTGTTTTTTGATGATTTTGTTCACATGAATTTGCTGCTGTATAATGCATCAGTTGTATGCTAAAAATACTTTAAAATTACTTCAAATATGTATATTTTAATTGCAATAATATACTTATGTTTTTATTATATTACTGAATGGTCCACATTAGGATGCAATCAACTTGATTTTTTCTGAAAAATTATATTTTAGGACTCTTTATAATCTATAACAATATCTTTGTGTTTGATATCTAAGAATGAGCTATATTTAACTGTTTCTGTTAGCAAACTCATGATTTCTATTATACCTCTATCTGAAGTAATTGATACTTTATGTTAGAAAACATTTCATTTGAGAAGTATAATCAGATTAATAGTTTTAATGAAATTAATTTGTTTATAAATATGTTTATTGTTTTGTGGCCGTATTGTTGCTGTTTATAATATTTCTTAGCATTTGCTCATTTTTGTGATCCTGTTCTTTATCTGATAATTTGAGTAAATCCCAGTTGAATTATGTTGCCACATTATGTCTTCAAAAGGGCATAAAGTCAGTACACATGCTTCAGTAATATCTGGTTGTTTTACCCTTATGTTTCCAGTTGGCAATTTGAAATTATGGCTTCAACTGCACTTTAAATATGTGATAATAGCATGTGTTTCTAATAAGGGCCAGCACCATTTTGTTCAGATAGTGTGAATGGTTGTCACTCATATATGACAAATGCACCTTCATCTGCTTCTCTGATAGCCCCCTAAAAACCATACCCTCAAATCAGGCCGATGAAATTAGCTGCTGTGTAAATTGTGTGTCTGAGTGGTTCATTATCTAATCACCGTCAGAACCACAGTGATAAAGTAGATTGAAGCAGGGAAGAGGTCTGCCAGATGATTCCACACCACCCTCCCCCCCAATCTGGTTTCCCTTGGAAACCCTAATAGTGCAGTTCAGAACTTCGGACTTTCATGCTTTCACTGTCTTTTTTAATGTACCAAACTTGGAAGTACTAGTAGTTAAGGAACATAATTTTTTTTTCTGTAAAGGCCATAATTTTATTTATTTAAATCGGTTTTTTAAATGTTGAGGTTTTTGAATTGTTTTGTTGCTAGTACCCTAAGTATTACTAAATGAGGGAAAAAAATACTATGCTCTACTTGCTTAGAAATAAGAATAACTTACCCATTACAGCTATTCACCTGCAAAAAATCTTTCAGTCTACTCCCTGTAAACATAATGGCCTTTGGTATTATTTATTGACTTGCTTCCCTTTATTTTAGGTGCTTTTGAAGATGATGATATCACGCATGTTGAAGGAAGTGTAGATCCCATTCGAGATATAGAAATAATACATGAAGAACTTCAGCTTAAAGACGAGGAAATGATTGGGCCCATTATAGATAAACTAGAAAAGGTGGCTGTGAGAGGAGGCGATAAAAAACTAAAACCTGAATATGTAAGTAAAAAGTTACAGCTTTCTTTAAATATTTGAGTTTATTTTTATTAGTTGAAATTGTAAAAATAAAGCACATAAGATAATATTGCTAGGGAATTTTAGAATCTAAGAGTTATTCCTGTCAAAATTTTTTTTGAGAAACTTCATTTTTTTTGGTCAACCAAAGGTCATAGTGTTTTTAGCAAGCCATAATTAATAATATTGGCTCTTTATATGATTGTGGTGTAGATCTTTGAGGTTTAGTGTTTAATGAAGTATGGTTTTGTAATGAAAAACTTTGTTGGATTTACAGAAATGACTGAATGTATAAGTTTCATGGATTTGAATTAGTGATTTACACAAAAGATTGGTCTTCCATAGGGATTGTTAAAGTGAGTGCACTCTTAAACTAGACACATAAATATTTCTCTTATGGGATGAAAACATGTATCATTGTCCTTAGTACTCAAACATGTCTCCTCTCACATTATTAGTGAGTAATTATTAATAACACCATAGTAAATGTTTTAAAATAAGTTTTTAAGCTTTTGGTTTAATTATGATTGAATTGTCTTTTATGTTAAAAAAAAAGCAGTGCCATAACTGTACATTTTATTGGTTACTAACTTCTTCTATAAACCATTATTGCTTTTCATGCATCTTTGTTGTAGGAAAGATTTTTCTTTCTTTCTTTTTTGTTTTTATTTTTTTGGTGCTACTGGAGATTGAAGCTGGTGTCTTCTGTTTGATAGGCAAGTGCTCTATCAATTAAACTAAGCCCCCAGCCCTTTTTGTTTTTATTTTGTTTCTGAGAGAGTATCTCACTAACTTTGCCTGGACTAGCCTTCAAACAGCAATCCTCTTACTTCCCCCTCCCAAGTAGCTGGGATTACAAGTATGTGTCACCAGGTCTGGCCCTTATTTATTTTTAATAAATTTGAGACACTATGCTACTAAGGAAGAAGTCATTTCCAAAGTCACCTTTTAAATTTAGACAATAAAGGTCAAAAGCACTTGGACTTGGGATAGGAAGACCTTTGTTGTGCTACTGGTTTCCTTAATGTATGTAGCAAGCCCAAGCTGTTTTACTTCTGTTCATGGTCATTTCCTATTCAAATAGAATGGAAAATGAAGATTTGTCTGAGGTAATTACACAAGGTTTAGAATGGAAAGGGGAAAGTGAATATAAGAAAGTATTCCTGGGGCTGGGGGTGTGGCTTAGTGGTAGAGTGCTTCCCTAATAAGCCCTGGATTTGATTCCCAGCACTGCCAAAAAGTATGGTGGTGTGGGTGTGTGTGTGTGTGTGTGTGTGTGTGTGTGTGTGTGTGTGTTTCCCCTTTGAGATGAAATTTATTTTCCCAAACATGGTTACTAATAAATCCTTAAATCCTTAATGCAATCACTTACTTGTTCATTGAAACTTAAATCCACAGATCTTTCAGGAACATAACTGACTTAAAAGTAAATTTCTCATCAGGCTCTTCTGAAATTCTTGGACTATCATTTCCTGCTTTTTTCTTAAAGAAAGCCAGAATACTGAGTGCTCCTTGTAACAGTATTCTCTTCTCATTTCTAACCTCGTTCTGAAAATTTCTGTTGTTTAAGACTTGAAAGCATAGCTTGATCTTGTGTTTGCAGAAAAGTCTTAACACCTTTTCCCTATTCATTTTTCCCTTCACTGTCAAGCTCTTCTGGATATATGGACACATTATAGCCTAATTTTCTGATTTCCAAAAACTGCAGTCCTACTTCTTTTGTGCCCTTATCTTAGATTCAGCTGCTGCAGGAAAAAAAGAAATTTAGGTCAGTATTTCCCAACATTTTTTCATTATTACCACCTATAAGGAAAAAAAAAAGTCGAATTTAAATTATTTAGTTCATATTTCTCTCTAGTAGAGAGAAATACTAATGGTAAGATTTTGTTAGGTGGGATTGAGCTTTTGAGGGCCACAAACTATTTTAAGTATCTAATTTTTTCACACACAGCCTTCCCCTGACTCAATTTTTGCCCCACTATAGGAGATATCACCCCCCATTGAGAATGCATGCCATAAGTTGTCTTATAGCAAACCCAAAATTTATAAACATGGTAAAGCAAATGACTTTTTAGAATTTTTTTAAATTTTTGTTGTTTATCAAAAATAGTATTTGGGTTATCTGTAACTCAATCTGGAGGGAAGAATTAATGTTTACAATATTGAATGTTTCAGTGCACTAACACCTCATATATCTTTTCTCCCTTCCTTCTTTCTTCCTTCCTTCCTTTCTCCTTCCCCTCCCTCCCTGGCAGTGCTGGGGATGAAGGTCCAGGCTTCACGGATAGTAGTCAAGTTCTTTGCCACGGAGCTACATTCCCAGCTTGTTGGACAGGCTGTTGGAGAGTTATATTTATTTTTATTATTATTTACTTTAAAATTTTTTTTGTGCTACTGTGGATCAAACCCAGGGCCTTGTGCATGTTAGACAGGTGTTTTGTCACTGATGACTTACACTCCCAGTTCTTGGATTTTTAAGATAAGGTCTCTCTGCATAGCTCAGGCTGACCTCAAACTTGCAATCCTTCTACCTACACCTCCTGAATGCTGAGACTACAGGCATATGTCCTCATGCCTAGCTATGTTTTCTTTTGCTGGGAGAAGGGGTTGAGGGTGGGGACAGGGTCTCACTATATAGCCCGTTCGAATTCGGAACTTACGATGTTGTCTAAGCTGGCCTTGAACTCAAAATCCTCCTGCTTTTGCCTCTTAAGTGCTGGTATGTGAGTACCACCATGTCCAGCTATACTTTAAAAATATATGATCTTTTTTTAAACCCGATGATCTGTAGTATTTATTCTCTTACCTTCATACTGATTCAGAAAACCCAAGTTTTAAGAGTTTGTGTCAATTGCCTAAGAAATTTCTTTTTTTTTTAATTTTTATTTTTTTATTATTCATATGTGCATACAATGCTTGGATCATTTCTCCCACCTGCCCACACACCCCCTCCTTTACCAACCACTCCGCCCCCTCCCTCTCCCCCCCCACCCCCTCGGATACCCGGCAGAAACTATTTTGCCCTTATCTCTAATTTTGTTGAAGAAAGAGTATAAGCAATAATAGGAAGGAACAAGGGTTTTTGCTAGTTGAGATAAGGATAGCTAAACAGGGAGTTGACACACATTAATTTCCTGTGCGTGTGTGTTACCTTCTAGGTTAATTCTTTTTGATCTAAGCTTTTCTCTAGTTCCTGGTCCCCTTCTCCTATTGGCCTCAGTTGCTTTTAAGGTATCTGCTTTAGTTTCTCTGTGTTGAGGGCAACAAATGCTACCTAATTTTTTAGGTGTCTTACCTATCCTCATATCTCCCTTGTGTGCACTCGCTTTTATCTTGTGATCTTGTGATCACAGTGATCAATCCCCTTGTTGTGTTTGCCCTTCATCTAATGTCCACATATGAGGGAGAACACAAGATTTTTGGTCTTTTGGGCCAGGCTAACCTCACTCAGAATGATGTTCTCCAATTCCATCCATTTACCAGCGAATGATAACATTTCGTTCTTCTTCATGGCTGCATAAAATTCCATTGTGTATAGGTACCACATTTTCTTGATCCATTCATCAGCAGTGGAGCATCTTGGCTATTTCCATAACTTGGCTATTGTGAATAGTGCTGCAATAAACATGGGTGTGCAGGTGCCTCTGGAGTAACCTGTGTCACAGTCTTTTGGGTATATCCCCAAGAGTGGTATTGCTGGATCAATGGTAGATCAATTTGGAGGCTTTTTAAGTAGCCTCCAAATTTTTTTCCAGATTGGTTGTACTAGTTTACATTCCCACTAACAGTGTAAGAGGGTTCCTTTTTCCCCGCATCCTCGCCAACACCTGTTGTTGGTGGTGTTGCTAATGATGGCTTTTCTAACAAGGGTGAGGTGGAATTTAGTGTGGTTTTAATTTGCATTTCCTTTATTGCTAGAGATGGTGAGCATTTTTTCATGTGTTTTTTGGCCATTTGAATTTCTTCTTTTGAGAAAGTTCTGTTTAGTTCACTTGCCCATTTCTTTATTGGTTCATTAGTTTTGGGAGAATTTAGTTTTTTAAGTTCCCTATATATTCTGGTTATCAGTCCTTTGTCTGATGTGTAGCTGGCAAATATTTTCTCCCACTCTGTGGGTGTTCTCTTCAGTTTAGAGACCATTTCTTTTGATGAGCAGAAGCTTTTTAGTTTTATGAAGTCCCATTTATCTATGCTATCTCTTAGTTGCTGTGCTGCTGGGTTTTCATTGAGAAAGTTCTTACCTATACCTACTAACTCCAGAGTATTTCCTACTCTTTCCTGTATCAACTTTAGAGTTTGTGGTCTGATATTAAGATCCTTGATCCATTTTGAGTTAATATTGGTATAGGGTGAGATACATGGATCTAGCTTCAGTTTTTTGCAGACTGCTAACCAGTTTTCCCAGCAGTTTTTGTTGAAGAGGCTGCTATTTCTCCATCGTATATTTTTAGCTCCTTTGTCAAAGACAAGTTGGTTATAGTTGTGTGGCTTCATATCTGGGTCCTCTATTCTGTTCCACTGGTCTTCATGTCTGTTTTTGTGCCAGTACCATGCTGTTTTTATCGTTATTGCTTTGTAATATAGTTTGAAGTCAGGTATTGTGATACCTCCTGCATTGTTCTTTTGACTGAGTATTGTGTTGGCTATTTGTGGCCTCTTGTGTTTCCATATAAATTTCACGGTAGATTTTTTTTATCTCTTTAATGAATGTCATTGGAATTTTGATGGGAATTGCATTAAACATGTAGATTACTTTTGGGAGTATAGACATTTTTACTATGTTGATTCTACCAATCCATGAGCTTGGGAGATCTCTCCACTTTCTATAGTCTTCCTCAATCTCTTTCTTCAGAAGTTTATAGTTTTCCTTATAGAGGTCATTCACATCTCCATTTAGAATTGTTTTCATATATTCTTTTTCAGTTTGTTCATTATTAGTGTATGGAAATGCTAATGATTTTTCTATGTTGATTTTATATCCTGCT